GGGGAAAGAGAGAGAGAGAGGGGAGGGGGAAAAAAAAAAGACTGCTGCAAAGCTGATCTGAAAAGCAAAGCAAACAAACTTTGAAAATAAAGGGGGAACAGGAAGTTTGGCAACGGTGTCCAATAGATATGGCAATGGTAGTCGGTGCGTGGCGAGACCCCCAGGACGATGTGCCCGGAGCTCAGGGAACGCAGCCTTCGCAAGCCCCGCCGGTGCAGGGACCTCCGGCCGGGACCCCGCACACCCCACAGACCCCGGGGCCCGGGGGCCCTCCCAGTACTCCAGCCCAGACCAACCCGCCAAGCCAGCAGAACCAAGGAGACAAACAGCAGCAGCAGCAGCACATTGAATGTGTGGTTTGTGGGGACAAGTCTAGTGGCAAACATTATGGCCAGTTTACCTGCGAGGGTTGCAAGAGTTTCTTCAAGCGGAGTGTAAGGAGGAATCTCAGCTACACTTGTCGTGCCAACAGGAACTGTCCCATTGACCAGCACCACCGCAATCAGTGTCAGTACTGCCGCCTCAAAAAATGCCTCAAAGTTGGCATGAGACGGGAAGGTATTGGGATTTCATTTGTTTTGCAATTTTTTTTTCACTCGCTGCGTTTTGGGTTTTGTTTTGTGGCTTTGGTTTGGGTTTTTTTAGTTTATTTATTATTCTTCTTATTATTTCTAACTTCCCTCCCCAAACCCAGCCAGAACCTTTCCTTCCCTCCCCTCCTCACCACCCCCCGAATAAACAGACAGAAACTTTCTAGTAATGAAAGAAAGAGGTGTTGGAGAGGGTGGGCAGGGGAGGCAGGGGCTCTTGCATGCTTTCTCCTGCACTCGTAATTGATTTGTGTTTGTTTTGATTTTGCTGATGGAGGTTTATTGGAAGTGGATTTTTAGTTTCACGCTGCTTAGGAGCGAGATGATTATTCTGACGTGTGGTTACTTCTCCTTCGTGTTTCCTCCCGCATGTTCAGCGTTACCCCCCGTCCCCCGAGCAGCTCCAGGAGTGAGTGTGTGTGTGTCCGTGTATGTCTCTGTGCCCGTGTGTACACACACACGGATCCTCACGAGATGCACACGCACACATATATATATCCTCCAGCACCCTGCCTTAGATTGCAATTTTACACAGGCGGTTCAAATTACTATTACAATGGGACTCACCCCACCGAGGCTCTACAGCACTCCACTGTGGATTCCCAGCCGGATTTTTCCTCCTTTAAAAATATATATACACACAGATACCCGCGCGTGTGTGCGTATATATATATATCTATCTATATATGTGTATATTGCCATGCTCCTGCCCTTCCTGATTGTTACTATCTCACTTTTCTCTTCTTCCTCTTATTTTCTTGCTCCTCCGAGAGAGGCAGGAGGAGGGTAGAAGGGACGGGGTGTGTGTGTATGGGGAGAGGGGGGAAGCGCTGCCCAGAAGTAAGTGTGGGGTGCTCGGGTCTCTGCAAGTCGAGTCTTTGTGATATAAAATTAGACGAGAAATGTGAGCCTGCAGTTTTCCAGTGCGTGCTCTGTGTCTGGACGCTGCTATGTAGGTTAAGGGTTAGGGGGCTTGGGACTTGCTGGGCTCCTCTCTTTGTGTTTCTGCAAGAGTAACTAACCTCATAATACGTGCGATAACAAATATAAATCAAGCACATTTTTAGGCGTTCTCCCTTCTTGCCGCCTCTCTGCCTCTGAGCTCTTTTTCTCTCGCCTTTTTCTCTCGCTGTCACCGTGTAAATTTATTAACAAAATGAAAGGCCCACTTTCCATGGGCAGCTGAGGAAGGTGCCTTTGGATAACGCTCCCAGCCTCGCCGGGGGACCTGCCGGGGATGTTGTGGGGTGATCTGGCCTCCTTTGATATTTTTATTTTTTTTACGAGGGGGGCAGAGTATATAATAGCAGCAGCAACAATGTATTCAGTGGGCGAGAAACGCGTGTGGGACCGGCGCCGGGGATTTTGAACTGAAGTGTTTCTTCCCTCTCCCTCCCCATCCCGCTCCCCCAGCCTCGAATCAATAAGCTGGTTTAGGTGTAACGAAGAAAAATACCCGGGCACACAAAGACGTATCCTGCATCTCTTGAAGGAGGGGTGGCGGTGAAGGGGAGGGGGGAGAAAATAACTGAATTGTGATGTGTTTGGGAAGTGAGGCTCTCGGGCTCCTTCAGGCAGTCCTGGCCGAGCGGACAGCGTTGCTCAGATTTTATTGTTGCTTTTACTTGACCCGGGAACTGCGAAGCCTTGAAACGGGGTATGGGCTGAACTCTGGCTGGAAAAATGCATGCACCCCCTTAAGCTGCCTGGGTACGGTGTCACACACGCACGCACAAGCACACAAAGCAGGCTGTATTGGAACCGATGGTCGCAATTCAGATATTAATAGCTGTAGTTTCTTCTTTATTTACTGCAGCGGTCCAGAGGGGCAGAATGCCACCCACACAGCCAACTCATGGTCAGTTCGCCTTGACAAACGGGGACCCTCTCAACTGCCATTCCTACCTATCCGGATATATCTCCCTTCTTCTGAGAGCAGAGCCCTACCCCACCTCCCGCTTTGGCAGTCAGTGCATGCAACCCAACAACATCATGGGCATCGAGAACATTTGTGAACTGGCAGCTAGGATGCTCTTCAGCGCGGTGGAGTGGGCCAGGAATATCCCCTTCTTCCCAGACCTCCAGATCACAGACCAGGTGGCCCTCCTGAGGCTGACCTGGAGCGAGTTATTTGTCCTCAACGCTGCCCAGTGCTCCATGCCCCTCCACGTAGCTCCGCTCCTGGCAGCTGCTGGCCTCCACGCTTCGCCAATGTCTGCTGACCGAGTGGTCGCCTTTATGGACCACATACGAATCTTCCAAGAGCAAGTAGAAAAACTGAAAGCATTGCATGTCGACTCTGCAGAATATAGCTGCTTAAAGGCCATAGTCCTCTTCACCTCAGGTAGGCAGCATTTCTTTGCTCTTCCTTTTTCCTTCCCCGGGTACCCCTTGCCTGAGAACTGTTTGCTCTTGCAAAGTGTTATTGCCTTGCGCCCCATCACCACTCCCTGCCCCCTCTGAGAACCAGCGCGGTCTCTTTCCTTGTAGGAAACGGTGCCCTGTGGTGTCCCCTTCAGGGCCTGGGATCTGAGCATCTCATCTTCAAGGGAGTGCAAAATTAAAAAAAAAAAACAAAAAAACCAAAACACGAAAACAGGCAGACACAGGAAAAAAAATACTACCAAAACACACCCCAACCCCTACTTGAATAATCCTGGGGATGGGGGATAATGAGGGGGCTCGGGAAGAAGCACCCATTTGCCATGAGAGACTGCGCTTTTCCCATTGAAAATAATATTTTATTTAACAGTATAGCTCTGGGTTGTTGCATTTAATGACACGCATCCGAACAGCAGCAAAATCTGTTTGATGTTGTTAAATACAAGTCGTCCTATCAGTGAAACCACTTTAAAAAGCGGATCATTTTATGGGCAGCCAGGAAGGGAAAAAAGCCCTGCAGGATTAAAAATTGAATTAAAAAAAAAAAAAGTGAAATGCGCAAAGCTGAGTTTAAAATATGTTCCCTGCCATCCCATAAAATAAAATAAATCAACTTTCCAAAGAGCTGTTCTGGTTTAAACAGAATGTGGCAGTGAGCAGTTCTGTGTCATTTAAGCTAAGGGGAAAAGTTTGCATTTGTACCCAGCAGGAACTGCATAGTCCAAAGCGAGTAGCGGGTGCGAAAAGATCATTACCATAAGTAGACAGGGATAGTATGAAAAAGTAAGAGGAGACTGAAGCTGCCGCTCCGCAGTGTAATTCCGGGGTGGCACAACCATGCCTCTCCCGAGGAAAAGACCTCGAGGTAGAGGGGGGGGGGGGGGGGAAATATGTGTCAACTTTTGCTGCCTAGAAATAGTGCATGAGTTATAAAGCAATAATTGAGTGCGTTGTGAAATCTAATTAGCTTGCACTAGAGTTTAACCTGGGTGAGTAATAATCCTGATATTAACTCTGGAGGCTAAATTTTTTTTTTTTCTGAGGAAAAAAAAATCTGCTCGCTAATTTGTGCAATACGTTATCTCAGATCGCTAACTTTAAAGCTGCATCGGCAGCCCAATGTGCTGGAGCCCTAGAAGTTTTGAGATTAAGTTTAAAAATACATATATTTCTTCTGTAACTGATTTGAAAGCTTGGGAAAGTGGCCACGCGATAAACATATGAATGGAAGCAGGACCTGTAAAATAATTACTCATCGGAGTTTTTTAAAGCCTGATATCAGGAAACAGGAAAAAAATGTAGTTTATGTGGGAAAAGAAGGGCTCACAATCCGTTCCTTGTTGTGTTAAAGGGGGTCTGGGGAACGAAGTCATTTTCTGGACTTTGTCCAGGTTCTGGGTCGTGACCTAAACTTCCTTTTATATATTATTGCTTTACACATAAAAAACGTCTCTCTCTTTTTTTTTTTCCCTCCCCCCCAAAATTACTCGTGCTAAAGTTCTAAGGTGATCAATGAGCAAGGCGCATCTAGACACAGGGAGACAGGAATCCCGAGTAGAAAGGGGTGTACGTGGGGTGCTTATTTCATTTTTCTGTCCTTTTCTAGGATGCATTTTCCTCTCCCTCGCTCAAACGCTCAGCGCGGATCCCACACACGCTCACATCCCTCCCCAGTCCCTGGCCAGCTCACACCCACACCGAGGAGTTTATTTCCAACCCTGCCTTTTCTCCCAAATCACTTTTTTTTTTTTTTTAGCCTTCTGAGAAAACAATCGTCCGATCCTGTCGTAACCGTTTAATTTATTACTATTTTCAAAATGTGAGGCCTGGCGTGTAAATTGCCTCCCAACTAGATAAACGTTTCTTGTTATCTGATTCTGGGGAAGATAGCCGCATGCAAAAAAAAAAAAAAAGGGTGATGCATGTAGCTTCTGCAGCACCCCAATAACACTCGCTGATGTAAAGCAGACGCACATAGATGCATATAATGTTTGCTGCAGCCTCTTTTAAGAGAAAAAAAAAAATCTGGGTTCTAATGACTCGCAGAATATGCATGTGTTAGCCCTGTGCCTAGGAAAGCCACAGGGAGGTCAGGTCACAACCTGTGCTCTTTCAGCACAGACGTCTCTGATTTAAAGGGAACTTATTGTATTTTAGCGTATCAGGAAAAAAAAGAAAAAAAAATGTCCAGACCCTATCAGGGAGTTTTCTTCTTGTAAGGGCCTTTAGGTTTAAAAAGAAGAAGAAGAGGAAAAAAAAGAGGGGGGAGTGGAGGGGGGGGAAGAAAGAAAGAGAAAAGAAAAGAGGGGGGAAAAGAAACAGCTCAAATGAACAGAGAGATCACAGTTTGCATGGCTGCCTCTGAATAGGCTAAACTGACAAGATCAGTTTTAAAGGGCCACTTAAATCAGTTTCAAAGACTGAAGAAAAACGCGTTGTCTTCTTTGGGGGAGAATCTGTTGCTGGATCCGGGGCGCCATTATCTTTGGCTGGGCCAGTTTTTTTTTTTTAATAATTATTATAATTTCCATCACTATTATTAGTATTCCTTCTCATCACATGGTTAGGCTCTCCCCAGTTATTTTCTAAAGAGGGGGAGAAACAGTGGCTCCCTTTTCCTCCTTTCAACTCAAGCCTTCCCTGCCCCCCTAGCCTTTCCCCCTAAAAATATAGATATACGAAATTGCGCTTGGCCAGCACCTCCTTGTCAACCCCTTGGGTCTGTCGTGCCATTAGAAATCTGGAATCCTGGAGATTCTCAGCCCTAAAGAAGACCCTCCAGAAGAGAGAGAAATACAAATACACACACGTACGCAGAAAGATTGTCCCATTTGGTAAAACCTACCTAAACTCTGGGGGGCGAGGTGATGGCGCATGATCTGCACTTAATTCTAGCAATAAAACCCATCAAATTAAAAATAATTTAAAAAAACCAAACCACAACACAAAAACTTTTTAATCTGATGATTGTTTTCTTTTTTTCTTTTTTTTTCTTTTTTTTTTTTTAATACACTTTCTTCTAGATGCCTGTGGTCTCTCTGATGTAGCCCATGTTGAAAGTTTACAGGAGAAGTCACAGTGTGCTTTGGAAGAGTATGTTAGGAGCCAGTATCCCAACCAGCCAACACGATTCGGGAAGCTATTACTACGTCTCCCCTCCCTTCGCACTGTCTCCTCTTCTGTCATAGAGCAATTGTTTTTCGTCCGTTTGGTAGGTAAAACCCCCATAGAAACCCTAATCAGGGATATGTTACTGTCTGGCAGCAGTTTTAACTGGCCTTATATGTCCATTCAATAAAATATCCGAGAGGAAATAAAAATTTAAAAATTAAAGTAAAAATTGAGAAGGGAGATGAAAGAGAGTGAAAGGAAAGCAAATGACATTTGGGTTCTAGTTGTTTCTTAAATTTCCTTCTGCTAAGAAAGGATGTAAAAGGATGTTACAAGTTTGCTAAGAGAAGACAGGAAAAAATTAATGGACTGTGAATTTCAAAAAGAGACTGTCAAATGAACTTTTACAGAATGCATTAAAAACTCCCGTGTCGTTCAGAAAAAAACAAAAACAAAAAACAAAACAACAAACTTGCTACTTATCATTTTTTTTGTAAAAAATAAAAAAGAGAGAAAGAAAAAAGAAAGAAAGAAAAAAGAGAAAGAAGAAGAAAAGAAACGATGGTGGGCTTTTTCTTTTTTTCTTTTTTCTTCTTTTTTTTCTTTTTTTGGGGTAAACTTTTTTTAAAATCTCGCTTAAAGTGCATTTAAAGGAAATTTGGAGAAAATTAGCAGAACGGAAGAAAGTAAGTCTTTTTTTTCCAAATTATTAATTGTCCTATGTGTCTATGTACCTATAGCTGTTCTTTTTTGTATTTTTCTGGTTTCAAACCAGTTTATTCTGTGGTTCTATAATAATTTTTGATATAACCTTGGCTTCTTTAAAAAAAAAAAAAGCTGTGTATCCTTAAAATATATGTTCTGAAAGAATTAAAACTGAGTCCACGGAAGTATCATAGGAAGAAAGGAAAAGAGAAAAAAAAACCCTCAACAACACAATGATGGAAGCGCACTTAAGGTGGTGACCCAAAATCTAGCTTGAAGCTGAGAGAGCTATAATTATATAGACCCGAATGAACCACATGTGTCATATAACTACCCCCAAATCTAGGTTTTTTGATATTTCAAACAGAAAATGAACTGTGGGGTTTTATTATAGGTAGAAGGAATTTGTGTCCAAGACACATTACGGTTTTGATTTAAAAAAAAAAAACACAAACAAACAAGCAAAGTGAACTTTTGTAATTTGAATTGGGTTCCACATAGTTCATCATGAATTGTTATTAAACTCCTCTATCTGTTTGTATATTTGCAAGCCCTTTGTATTATAATAATTGTTGATATTTTCCCTTTTTAAAAAATACCATTGAAATCAGCATGACAAAATAACACTGTTGGCACTTATAGATAACGTGATTGATTCAGTATCTTAGAGTTTACAGTTTTGTGTTTAAAAAAACTGAAGGTTTTTTTTTTTAAGTGCAACATTTCTGTATACTGTAAAAGTTATAATAACTGAACTGTTTGGTCGAGTCTTTGTGTGTTATATTCCAAGGAAAATTGAAAGTATTCAGAAATTAAAATATTATTTGATATCTGAAACTTGTTTGGCTGTCATAAATGTCTTTCAGAAACCACATTACTTCTCTATAGTTTGCAGTCATTTAAGTCCATAGGCGATTGATTTGTTTACTTGTCACAGTAAGTTTGTAGCAGATGTATTGTAGTGTATTTACCTGTTTAATTCCGGGATGGGGGTGGAGGACTTAAGTTCGTGGTTTATCTCTGGTTTTAGGAAGTACTATGCTGAAATGGTAAACCATCAACCCCCATTCATCTAATCCTCCTGTTAATTAAAAATGGATTTTCTGGAAAAAAAAAGGCCCTTATTTTTGTCACACTTAAGTGCCTGCGTAGGAAAGGTATTGTTGTGAAGAAGTATTAGAAATCTGGAGATCAGTATCTATTTTATGATCAGAATGGGGCGAAAAATCTTTTGTAAATGTCTGACATACGCGCACAAGATCATTCAGGCAAGGTAATAGCAGTATTGTAAATATAGGTCAGTTGTTTGCAATGAGTTTTCTTTAAGTATGTGTGATTTTTTATAATATCCCGTAGTTGCCATCTATCCTTGTCATTGAGAGGTCTTCAAATGGAGTGGCTTTAGCTTCTAGCACTGAGGAGTCGGTTTTTAATGTATATATATACTCTCAAGTGGATTTTTTTTTACCTTAGACTGTGAAAGCATGACCACAGGTCATCTCTATATTTTACATATGGGATGTATGTCTGTATGTGTACTTGCATACATACATGCGGAGGCGTCCAGGCATCTCTCCTGTGTAGCCACAGGGCCCTCTCTTGCAGTGCGCAGTCACACCTCCCACTGGGGCGGTGGGGACCTGCCTGGGCCGGTGGCAGCGGATCGGACACACCAGTTTGTGGATTTAGTGCTACCCCGAGCAGGCAGCGAACCCCTCAAATCTGAAGGAAGGCGAGATTATGTGGTTTCGCAAGGGGCTGATATTTGGGTTTGTGTGTGTGTGCGTGTCATTTAATTTTTTTTTTGTTTTGTTTTTCTC